TTGAGGGCTCCACAGCTGGACGCAGCACTCCAGGTGGGGTCTCACCAGAGCAGAGTACAGGGGCAGAATCCCCTCCCTCGACCTGCTGGCCACACTCCTGATCAGCCCAGGATACGGTTGGCTTTCTGGGCTGCCAGCGCACACAGCCGGCTCATGGTCAGCTTTTTGTTCACCAGTATCCCCAAGTCGTTCTCCTCAGGGCTGCAGTAGGTGGACATCAATGGGAATCATGGGTCAATATGAAGATTTCTCCAGTACTTCTGTGTTGCCACAGAAATTATTCCCTGGCTATTTCATACAGATTTAAATGATGAGCCCTCATCATTAAATCATGCTGTGGAGCCCTCAATATCAGAAGGATATTGACCACTTGGAGCGAGTCCAGAGGAGGCCACGAAGATGCTCAGAGGGCTGGAGCCCCTCTGCTGTGATGAAAGGCTGCAAGAATTGGGCTTGTTCAGCCTGGAGAAGAGGAGGCTCCGAGGAGACCTCATTGCAGCTTTCCAGTATCTGAAGGGGGCCTACCAGGGTACTGGGAGAGGACTTTTTACAAGAGCCTGTAGTGATAGGACAAGGGGTAATGGGTATAAATTGAATTCAGGGAGGTTTAGATTAGATATCAGAAAGAAATTCTTCACAGAGAGGGTGGTGAGGCACTGGAACAGGTTGTTGTGGATGCCCCATCCCTGGAAGTGTCCAAGGCCAGGCTGGATGAGGCTTTGAGCAACCTGGTCTAGTGCAAGGTGTCCCTGCCCATGGCAGGGGGGTTGGAACTAGATGATCTTTAAGGTCCCTTCCAACCCAAACCATTCTATGATTCTATGATGAAGCACACCTTGGCTTTTGTCATCTTGACCCTGAGTTTCTCATTCCCATCTTTCCCTGTTACTTTTGTCTATGACATCTTCATACAATGTACAATTCCCACAGACTGTGGGATAAACTGTTCCTTTCCTTTCCACTTCTCCAAGCCTTATTTCTAAGTGACTATAGAGATTTCTCCAACTATAACTAGAAGAAGTCCTGGCAAGTTGGATCACATGGGAAACTTTATTTTTTTGTTTTGATTCTGACTTTTGCACATGGTGACTGACGCACCTCCATCTAGCATGAGTGGGTTTCAACTCCCTTCCAAGGATTGTTTATCAAAGGGTTGGGGTTGTTTGAAACTGAAGTCACTTCAAAAAACCCACACCCACTCCTCCCACTCTGTGCTTAGTTTTGGGAGAGGAAAATACCTGCCATGCGTTGCCACATGTCTGTAGGCATTCTCAAGGCAGGACATTGGGTACCATGGGGCAGGAAGCCCTGTGGCTTCATCTGTGGGATCTGT